TGGTTAGCTACGCTGCGCTATGAACCTGGCGACCCGGGTTCAATCCCCGCTCACGTCCAACACCAGTGACGATTATTTGAACCGGTCCTGGGCCTCTCCTAGGTCGACTCAGCCTGAAATGAGTACCTGAAGACACAGGCGGTCGGGCGTGGTGCTGGCCACCCACCCCCTCGTGTATTGTTCCGGCCTTCATAGGTGCTCGCTAACAGCACTTGCCCCTACAGTCTGTGAAGGCTACACGGGGGATCTCTGTGTTTGTGTGTCTGTATGTATGTACTCTTTGGTTCTTTCGGTAAAGTCACGTATAAAGATATACGTGACTTTACCGAAAGAACCAAAGAGTAATTTCTGCAGTCACGAAAGCTCCAAATTAAGTTCTGTATGTATGTATCTGTGTGTCTCTGTGTGTGTGTGTCTGTGTGTGTCTGTATGTATGTATCTGTGTGTGTCTGTGTCTGTATGTATGTATCTGTGTGTGTCTGTGTGTGTCTGTATGTATGTATCTGTGTGTGTCTGTATGTATGTATCTGTGTGTGTTTGTGTGTGTCTGTATGTATGTATCTGTGTGTGTCTGTATGTATGTATCTGTGTGTCTCTGTGTGTGTGTGTGTCTGTGTGTATCTGTATGTGTGTGTATCTGTGTGTGTCTGCGTGTGTCTGTATGTATGTATCTGTGTGTGTCTGTATGTATGTATGTATCTGTGTGTCTCTGTGTGTGTGTGTGTCTGTGTGTGTGTGTCTGTGTGTATCTGTGTGTGTCTGCGTGTGTTTGTCTGTGTGTATCTGTGTGTGTTTGTGTGTGTATGTATGTATCTGTGTGCGTGTGTGTCTGCGTGTGTGTCTGTATGTATGTATGTATCTGTCTGTGTGTGTCTGGCTGTATGTATCTGTGTGTGTGTCTGTATGTATCTGTGTTTGTGTCTGTCTCTGTGTGTGTGTCTGTGTGTGTCTGTATATATGTATCTGTGTGTGTTTGTATGTATCTGTGTGTGTTTGTATGTATGTATCTGTGTGTGTGTCTGTGTGTGTCTGGATGTATGTATCTGTGTGTCTCTGTGTGTGTGTCTGTGTGTGTCTGCATGTATGTATCTGTGTGCGTGTGTGTCTGCATGTGCGTCTGCGTGTGCAGGCCTTGGCGGAGTCCAACTTCACCTACACGGCCGCTCGCCTCTGCAATTTGCTCTCCCAGAAGTTGGTGGTGAACTCGCACGCAGGAACCTTCAGGCAGCATCTGCTCAAGAGGTCAATAGCCGCCCCTACGCGCTGATGCAGTGCACACGCAGTGCACACACACACGCAGACACACACAGACACACACACAGACATAGACACACACACAGACACACAGACATAGACACACACACAGACACACAGACATAGACACACACACAGACATAGACACACACAGACACACAAAGACAGACACACACACAGACACACACACAGACATAGACACACACACAGACATAGACACACACACAGACACACAGATATAGACAACAACAACAACCGCCATTCGCCACTAAGTGGCGGTGACGTCACCACGATGCTTGTGCCAGGCCATGTGCACCTTGAGGCCACGTGAAGTGTCGAACGCCCGCTGACAGGAGGTCACACGCAACACGCAACACATTCACACACAGAGACAAAGATCCCCCGTATAGCCTTAACAGACTGTTGGGGCAAGTGCCGTTAGTAGTGAGTAGCAGCGCCTACGGAGGCTAGCGGCACTGTGGCTACACACACAGAGGGGGTGGGTGGCCAGCACCACGCCCGGCCGCCTTTGTCTCTCCAGTGGCGATGTTTTACTGGCAGATGGACCAGCTCTCTCTCACCTACACACTCTCTCACCTACACACTCTCTCACCTACACACTCTCTCACCTACACACTCTCTCACCTACACACTCTCTCACCTACACACTCTCTCACCTACACACTCTCTCACCTACACACTCTCTCACCTACACACTCTCTCACCTACACACTGTCTCACACTCCCTCTCTCTCGTCTGTCTCTGTCCCTTCTGATATCTCTATCACACTCTCGCTCACTCTCTCTCACGCTCTCTCTCTTGCGTGGGTCTGACCCTACCACTCTCTTTCAATTTCACTCACTCTTTCACACTCTCTCACGATCTCTCTCTCGCTCTCTCTCATGCTCTCTCTGTGTGTCTCTCCACGCTCACTCTCTCACTCAATCTCTCACGATCGCTCTCACTCTCTCTCTCTCTCGCTCACTCTCTCGCTCTCTCACGCTCGCTCTCACACTCTCTCTCTCACTCACTCTCTCTCTCACTCACTCTCTCTCTCACTCTCTCTCTCACTCTCTCCCTCACTCTCACACTCTCATTCTCTTTCACGCTCTCTCTCTCTCTCACACTCTCTCACGCTCACTCTCACACTCTCTCTGTGTGTCTCTCTCACTGTCTCTCTCTCTCTGTGTGTCTCTCTCACTGTCTCTCTCTCTGTGTGTCTCTCCACTCTCACTCTCTCTCACTCTCTCTGTGTGTCTCTCTCACTCTCTCACTCTCTCTCTCTCTCTCACTCTCTCGCTCTCTCTCTAACTGTCTCTCTCTGTGTGTCTCTCCACGCAGGTGCCACGTTGAGTACGAGAGCCGGGAGTTGGTGGCTCAGGGCGACGCCGCCTCCAGGAAGCGTCTCCACGCCTACTCCATCTTCCTCACCGAACTCTACCTGCACCTCGAGGTGCTCACCACTCACCTACCACTCACTCACTACACACTCACTACACTCACTCACCACTCACTCACCACACTCACACACTCACCCACCACTCACTCACTCACTCACCACTCACTCACTCACCACTCACTCACTCACTACACTCACTCACTCACCACTCACTCACACACTACACTCACTCACCACTCACTCACTCACTCACCACTCACTCACCACTCACTCACTACACTCACCACTCACTACAATCACCGCTCACTCACTCACTCACCACACTCACTCACCACTCACTCACTACACTCACCACTCACTCACCACTCACTCACCACTCACTCACCACTCACTCACTCACCACTCACTCACTACACTCACCACTCACTACACTCACCACTCACTCACTCACTCACCACACTCACTCACCACTCACTCACTACACTCACCACTCACTCACCACTCACTCACCACTCACTCACTCACCACTCACTACACTCACCACTCACTACACTCACCACTCACTACACTCACCACTCACTACACTCACCACTCACTCACCACTCACTCACCACTCACTCACCACTCACTCACTACACTCACCACTCACTCACTCACCACTCACTCACCACTCACTCACTCACCACTCACTCACTCACCACTCACCACTCACTCACTCACTCACTACACTCACTCACTCACCACTCACTCACTCACCACTCACTCACCACTCACTCTCTCACCACTCACTCACTCACCACTCACTCACTCACCACTCACTCACCACTCACCACTCACCACTCACTCACTCACCGCTTACTACACTCACCACTCACTCTCTCACCACTCACTCACTCACCACTCACTCACTCACCACTCACTTCACCACTCACTACACTCACCACTCACTCACCACTCACCTCACTCACCACTCACTACACTCACCGCTCACTACACTCACCACTCACTCACTCACTGCTCACTACACTCACCACTCACTCACTACACTCACTACACTCACTACACTCACTCACCACTCACTCACTACACTCACCACTCACTCACTCACTCACCACTCACTCACTACACTCACTCACTCACCACTCACTCACCACTCCCCTGTCCGCTGTAGGTGCTGTCCGGCTCCCAGCGAACTCGTGCCGCCATCCTGCGTGCCGGAGTGAAGGACGTCATCCACACGCTGCTCGCTCACCCCACAGATGACAATGTCACCTGCTCCATCAAGATGCTCAAGGTGTCTTACCGATTGAAAGCTTCTTTCGTGACTGCAGCGATTCGTATTCTTAGGTTTTTTCGGTAAAGTCACGTAGGTGAAAAATTAAAATTAATAAAATAAAAATAAAATAAAAATCACGACGTTTCGGAGGCAACACAAGCTTCCGTCTTCAGGTGGAACCGTCACAGCACGAAAGCTGTATCAAGTGAGCTGTATCAAGTGAGAGAAATTCCAAGAAAACATTTATATACTGCTATATGAAGACGGAAGCTTGTGTTGCCTCCGAAACGTCGTGATTTTTATTTTATTTTAATTTTTACTTTTATCTATTTCTATTTTTCACCTACGTCATTTTACCGAAACAACCTAAGAATATGAACCCTATTATTATATTGTGGTGCTGGCAAAGGAGGTCTAATGAGGCATCTGTCTGTGTGGGTGAAGCTGTGCGGGTCGGTGCTGGAGGACGACTTTCGGTTGGAGGGGAAGAGCAGCATGGACGAGCTGATGGAACGCATGAAGTCCGTGGTGCTGGATGGGTCCTGTGAGCGGTAATGCGCAGAGATGGAGATACACAGAGATAGAGAGAGATACACAGAGAGAGAGATACAGAGAGAGAGATACAGAGAGAGAGATAAACAGAGAGAGATACACAGAGATACACAGAGAGAGATACGCAGAGAGAGATACACAGAGAGAGAGAGAGACAGAGAGATACAGAGAGAGAGAGAGATACAGAGAGAGATACACAGAGAGAGATACACAGAGATACACAGAGAGAGATACGCAGAGAGAGAGATACACAGAGAGAGAGAGAGACAGAGAGATACACAGAGAGAGAGATACAGAGAGAGATACACAGAGAGAGATACACAGAGATACACAGAGAGAGATACGCAGAGAGAGAGAGATAGATACACAGAGAGAGATACACAGATAGAGAGAGAGAGATACACAGAGAGAGATACACACACAGAGAGATACACAGATAGAGAGAGAGATACACAGAGATACACAGAGAGAGATACGCAGAGAGAGAGAGATACACAGAGAGAGAGACAGAGAGAGACAGAGAGAGAGATACACAGAGAGAGATGGAACGCATGAAGTCCGTGGTGCTGGATGGGTCCTGTGAGCGGTAATGCGCAGAGATGGAGAGAGAGATACACAGAGAGATACACACAGAGAGACACAGAGAGAGATACAGAGATACACACAGAGAGAGAGATACACACAGAGAGAGATACACAGAGAGATACAGAGATGCACACAGAGATAGAGATACAGAGAGAGAACAGAGAGATACAGAGAGAGATACACAGAGAGAGATACACACAGAGATACACACAGAGATACGCACAGAGATACACACAGAGATACACACAGAGATACACACAGAGACACACACAGAGACACACACAGAGACACACACAGAGACACACACAGAGACACACACAGAGACACACACAGAGACACACAGCGATAGATACACACACAGAGATAAGCAGAGAGATGCCAAGGGGAAATGGGTGAGGTTCAAAATCGTGGTTCATGCAGCAAACCTTGGCTGACAGAGGAGGTGTTCAGGCTGGCTGAGGCTCACTCTCATCGGCTACAGCATCCCACGTCGGAGAATGAGGAGGCTTACCGCAGCCTTCGCTCGGAGGTTCGGAGAGCCGTAAGGCGCTGAAAGGATTAGCGGTGGTCGCGGGTTGCTGATGAGATGGAGTCTGCCTCAGTAGCGCGCGATCACAAATCACTATTTAACTCCATCAAAAAGTAACCTGCAGTGCCACACCTATTACCATCATTAGGGGAAAGAACGGTGATCCAATCTCCGACCCCCAGGAACATGTTTTCAGATTTGCTGAGCATTTCCTTGAGGTCCTGGGGGAGGGGAAATCCCTCAGCCAGGGAAACAACGTGGGACAAAGTGGGGATGACCCTGCTGAGGCTGCGGTGCCTCAAATATTGGAAGAAGTCACCCCCTGCGAGTGGCAGGCTGAGGTGCCAGCTGTTGAGGAAGTACTGAAGGCGATCCAGAGTCTGAGACCAGGAAAGGCACCGGGCAAAGATGATCTCCCAATCGAAATGCTGAAGGAGGGTGGCGTTTGTGCACAGACTGCCCTACATGACATTATAACAACACTATGGGAACCTCATTTGCCAGTAAAAATATGATAATTGGTTGTTTACCCTTCTATCTGGCAACAAAACTGACAACCTTTTTACAAGGAGTCATGTTTGCATAGACCTCAATACCTGCAGGTCATAATAAGAGTTATGTCTTTTGTTTGTATTATGACTGCAGGTATTGCGGTCTATGCAAACATGACTCCTTGTAAAAAGGTGTCAGTTTTGTTGCCAGATAGAAGGGTAAAAAACCAATTATTATAACAACAGTTATGATGTCATAACGGAAAGAACTGGCGGTCCCATCTCCGACCCCCCAGGGAACAGTTTCACATGGAGTGGGCTTACCCATGGTAGGCTTACGCAACCAATATTAATAATTAAGTTTGTTTTTATCCTGCTAAAGGTTTAATTCTGGCAAATCGTCCGCTCACGGCCAACACCGGTGACGATTATCTGAACCGGTCATGGGCCTCCCCTAGGTCGACTCAGCCTGAAATGAGTACCTGGTGCGGTGTGTAAACATCGCCACTGGGGAGACAAAGGCGGTCGGGCGTGGTGCTGGCCACCCACTCCCTCGTGTGCCACAGTGCCGGCCTTCATAGGTGCTCGCTAACAGCACTTGCCCCTACAGTCTGTTAAGGCTACACGGGGGATCTGTGTGTGTATGTGTGTATGGCGTGTGTGTGTATGTCTGTGTGTATCTGTCTGTGTGTGTGTGTGTGTGTCTGTGTGTGTGTGTATGTCTGTGTGTGTGTATGTCTGTGTGTGTGTATGTCTGTGTGTGTGTATGTATGTGTGTATCTGTCTGTGTGTGTGTGTGTGTGTCTGTGTGTGTGTGTATGTCTGTGTGTGTGTATGTCTGTGTGTGTGTATGTCTGTGTGTGTGTGTGTGTCTGTGTGTGTGTCTGTCTGTGTGTGTCTGTGTGAGGTGCTAGCTAACAGCACTTGCCCCTGCAGTCTGTTAAGGCTACACGGGGGATCTTTGTCTGTGTGTGTGTATGTCTGTGTGTGTGTATCTTTGTGTGTGTGTCTGTGTGTGTGTGTCTGTGTGTGTGTATGTCTGTGTGTGTGTATGTCTGTGTGTCTGTGTGTGTGTATGTCTGTGTGTGTGTATGTCTGTGTGTGTGTATGTCTGTGTGTCTGTGTGTGTGTATGTCTGTGTGTCTGTCTATGTGTGTCTGTGTGAGGTGCTAGCTAACAGCACTTGCCCCTGCAGTCTGTTAAGGCTACACGGGGGATCTTTGTCTGTGTGTATGTATGTATGTGTGTGTCTGTGTGTGTGTATGTCTGTGTGTGTGTATGTCTGTGTGTGTGTCTGTCTGTGTGTGTGTATGTCTGTGTGTGTGTATGTCTGTGTGTGTGTATGTCTGTGTGTGTGTGTCTGTGTGTTTGGGTGTATGTCTGTGTGTGTGTATCTGTGTGTGTGTCTGTCTGTGTGTGTGTCTGTCTATGTGTGTCTGTGTGAGGTGCTAGCTAACAGCACTTGCCCCTACAGTCTGTTAAGGCTACACGGGGGATCTTTGTCTGTGTGTGTGTGTATATATGTGTGTGTGTGTGTGTCTGTGTGTGAGTCTGTGTGTGTGTGTGTCTGTGTGTGTCTGTGTGAGGTGCTAGCTAACAGCACTTGCCCCAACAGTCTGTTGAGGCTACACGGGGGATCTTTGTCTGTGTGTGTGTGTGTGTATGTCTGTGTCTGTGTGTGTGTGTATGTCTGTGTCTGTGTGTGTGTATGTCTGTGTGTGTGTCTGTGTCTGTGTGTGTCTGTGTGAGGTGCTAGCTAACAGCACATGCCCCTGCAGTGTGTTAAGGCTACACGGGGGATCTTTGTCTGTGTGTGTGTGTCTGTGTGTGTGTCTGTGTGTGTGTGTCTGTGTGTGTGTCTGTGTGTGTGTGTAGGCCAGTGCGCAGCATGTTACTGAAACTCATCGAGTTGAGGTCAAGCAACTGGGGCAGAGTGACCCCCACCTCGACCCCTGCCCCCACCCACTGCCCCCTCACCGACCCAGACTACTACATGGTGAGAAACGCACTCCTTCTACACGGTGACATACACACCCATGTACATGCACACACACGTCATACACATACAGAGACAAAGATCCCCCGTGTAGCCTTAACAGACTGTAGGGGCAAGTGCTGTTAGCGAGTAGCACCTATGAAGTCCGGCACTGTGGCACACGAGGGGGTGGGTGGCCAGCACCACGCTCGGCCACCTTTGTCTCCCCAGTGGCGATGTTTACACATCGCACCAGGTACTCATTTGAGGCTGAGTCGACCTAGGGGAGGCCTAGGACCGGTTCAGATATGATCGTCATTGGCGGTATTGGCCGTGAGCGGGAATCGAACCCGGGTCGCCAGGTTCGTAGCGCAGCGTAGCGCTAACCACTACACCCACCGCTCCCCATAGACACCCAGAGACCCACAGACACCCATAGAGACCCACAGATACTCAGAGACCCACAGACACCCACAGAGACCCACAGACACCCATAGAGACCCACAGATACTCATAGAGACCCACAGACACCCACAGAGACCCACAGACACTCATAAAGACCCACAGACACCCACAGACACCCACAGAGACCCACAGACACTCAGACACCCACAGACACCCACAGAGACCCACAGACACCCACAGAGACCCACAGACACTCAGACACCCACAGAGACCCACAGACACTCAGACACCCACAGAGACCCACAGACACCCATAGGGACCCACAGACACCCACAGACTCACACAAAGACCCACAAACACCCACAGACACCCACAGACACCCATAGAAACCCACAGACACCCAATAGAGACCCACAGACACCCACAGAGACCCACAGACACCCACAGACACCCACAGAGACCCACAGCTTGGCACAGGTTTGCTACGTACGGTGTGACAGAAGTTCAAAGTACACACTACACAGAGACCCATAGACACCCAGACCCATAGCGACCTACAAATACCAAATAAATTAGCACGGTTGGCTACGTATGGTGTGAAAGAAGTTCACACCATACATAGACATTAATGTTCTGTACTAATAGGGTTTTTCCTCTTTTTTCCGGCAACAAAACTGATACCTTTTTGTAAGGAATCATGCTTACATTAACCACAATACTTGCAGTCAAATGCAAACAAAAAACAATATTCTGGTAATTTATGCATTGTCTTTGAAACTGATTGGTCCACACAAGAGACAGCTTTCTTTGGAGCCTCGTCTCATATGGTGTTCGACCAGATGACGCCAAAAGGCGCACAGTTCAAGACAACGCAACTACCAGAGTAATGAGAGCTCGGGGTGAGCAGCTACATCATGGGACCTCCTTTGCCAGTACCAAAATATACTAATAGGGGTTTTTTCCCCTTTTTTCTGGCAACAAAACTGACACCTTTTGCAAGGGGAAAAACCCTATTAGTATATTTTGGTACTGGCAAAAGAGGTCCCATGATGAAATAATGTTCTGTTATTATTTTAGTATTGTGATAAGTGATAGAGGCGTCTATTTAATTAGATTTTGTTGGGATCTGTGACTAGTGGACATCTGTGACAAAGAGCTTCATAGCTCATTGGGTTTGAGGACAAATAAATATTCAGATTCTGAAGATTCTGGTTCTGAGGTTAGGAGTGGAGTTTAAACGACTGTCCGAAATTACGTCGCTAGCACAGCTACACACAGACACACAGACACAGCTACACACAGCTACACACAGCTACACGCACACACAGACACACACACACACACACAGCTACACACAGCTACACACAGCTACACGCACACACAGACACACACACACACACAGACACACAAACAGCTACACGCACACAGACACACACACACAGCTACAAGCACACAGACACATACACACAGACACACACAGACACACACACAGACACACACACAAACAAGTGTCGTGGGTTCACAGGCGACAGAGACTGTGTAGTCGAGGCACACTATTTATTGTAACTTTTCACTCAGCACAGGGCAACGTATACAACACTCGAAGGGGTAACGGCCCCTTCACCTGTACTGGACCGGGATACACCCCCAGAGCTCTCTGCCCAACTGGTCTGCTCCCAGGTCCTCCGCTAAGGGCGCTAGGGGAGGCTACCTGGTCAAGGCACAGGTCACGACACCCAGCCAGGCAGAGCCGGCTCTTAGAAGAACATCGGCTCGGAGGAGTTCCAGTGCCTATCTGCCCGGTCTTCAGTCTTCACTGGTTCATCTTCTTGGTTCTTTCAGTAAAGTCACGTAGAAGGGAAGTAATAAAATAATAAAAATAAAACATAATAAAATAATTCTCACGACGTTTCGTCCACAACGCAAGCAGCCGTCCTCAGGTGAAGAATGAAACACCACCAAGCTTGGAGCTTAAATATATTCATCTGAGGACGGCTGCTTGCGTTGTGGCCGAAACGTCGTGAGAATTATTTTATTATGTTTTATTTTTATTATTTTATTATTTCCATTCTACATGACTTTACCGAAAGAACCAAGAAGATGAATCCCTGCAGTCACGAAAGCTTTAAATCGAAATCTTCACTGGTTCTTCACACGTTAGCTCCCCAACACTGAACCACGAGCCCTCTCGCTCCCCGCCTTTTAAACCAACTTGCCACCGAGGGGTGGGGCTGTGTGGGATCCCAGCATTCCCCCACAGCCCCCCCCCCCAGGGTGTTGACCGTTTGCGGACGTGGTTGTGCACACCCCCTGTGTGTTTGTTCGTTTCCCTCCCGTGACACCCCTACACAAGGACTCTTACACACGTGTGTGTCTGTGTGTGTGTCACACCGCTGAGTGTGTGTGTGTGTGGCTGTGTGTGTGTGTCTGTGTGTGTGTGTGTGTCTGTCTGTGTGTGTGTGTGTCACACCGCTGAGTGTGTGCTGTGTCTGTCTGGCAGAATGAGCCGGTGTTTTACACGGCCGACGGGACGCCCTTCACGGCTGCAGACCCTGGTACCAACACGCGCGCACACGTATACACGCACACACACGTACACACACGTACACACACACACGTACACACACGTACACACGTACACACACACTCAACACACATACTCACATACGTATACACACACAACGTACACACACACACGTATACACGCACACGTACACGTACACACACACACGTACACACACACACGTACACACACACACGTACTCGCATACGTATACACACGCACACGTACACACACACACGTACACACACACGTAAACATGCACACGTACACACACACACGTACACACACACGTACACACACACGTACACACACGTACACACACACGTACACACACACACACACGCACACACACGTACACACACGTACACACACGCACACACGTACACGCACACACGTACACGCACACACGTACACGCACGCACATACACGCACACACATACACGCACACACATACACGCACGTACAACAACAACAACCGCCATACGCCACCAAGTGGCAGTGATGTCACCACGACGCTTGTGCCAGGCCATGTGCACCTTGAGGCTATCACGTGAAGTGTCGAACGCCCGCTGGCAGGAGGTCACGGGACAGACCCAGCAGGTGCCACTGGTCGACTGACCGAGATGACCGAGATGACTGGCTGATGCGCCACCTGTGTCCCCTACTGTGCCAACTTGCTGTGCTTTAGCCACCCGGCGCCTGCTCGTTGTTGTGAGCGTCGCTCCTCCGCCCTCCGTTGTTGTTGGAGGGCGACTGCCTCCAACTGCCCACACACACACACACGTATACACATGAAGTATTGGAAATGACGGCAGGAACTTCTTGACGGGTAACACACTTTTATTAAATCTTGACGTGTCACAATACAACGTGTGGTCTCTATTCCTCTGACTATACACTCCACTTAACTCGTGTAGACTCTATGCCTCTGGCTACACACAATGCACTTGACTCGTGTAGACCCTATGCCTCTGGCTACACACAATGCACTTGACTCGTGTAGACCCTATGCCTCTGGCTACACACCATGCATTCGACTCGTGTAGACCCTATGCCTATGGCTACACACAATGCATTCGCCTCTGGGTTACACAGAGTCCCAGTCCCGTTAGGACAGCGGGACTAGGTACCGCAGGGCCCTATCTCTTCATCCCCGTCTTCATTCTTCGCTGGTTACATACTGCCCTTACGCCTGTGTGCATCCCCTTTTATAGCCCCCGCTCACGGGAGACGGAGCTGATGCGGACGTCGACGTGAGCATCGCTCCTTAGTTAACCAATGACGACGCGCTATCTCTACGATCCGTTTTCCCCAGCGCGTGTTAACACTACTCAACCAATCACACCGCGCTGCCACCCGATGCACTCCCTCTCAGCGCGTCACCGGCACACAGCCAATCAGCACCACGTAACCCACGACCCCGCGCTGACCCCTGATCCTCCACCGTCAGCGCGCGTCACCACATACACAGCCAATCACTACGCGCTGGCACACGATCCTACCCCAGCGCGTATCACCACTACACACACACAAAGATGAAGACAAAGATCCCCCATATAGCCTTAACAGACTGTAGGGGCAAGTGCTGTTAGCGAGCACCTATGAAGGCCAGAACGGTACACGAGGGGGTGGGTGGCCAGCACCACGCCCGGCCGCCTTTGTCTCCCTAGTGGCGATGTTTACACACACTGCACCAGGTACTAATTTGAGGCTGAGTCGACCTAGGCGAGGCCCGGTTCAGATAATCGTCACTGGTGTTGACCGTGAGCGGGAATCGAACCCGGGTCGCCAGTTTCATAGCGCAGCGAAGCGCTAACCGCTACACCACCACTCCCCACACACACACACATGCACAGAAACATACTTGTGCACATATACACATGCATACACTCTGTGTGTGCCTGTATATCTCTCTCTGTATATCTGTCCCTCTGTGTGTGTATCTCTGTATATACTCTTAGTTATTTCGGTAAAGTCACGTAGGTAAAAAATGATAAATTAATAAAAAAAATAATTGTGATATTTTTATTTTTTATTTTTATTAATTTAAATTTTTTACCTACGTGACTTTACCAAAAAAACTGAGAGTATGAATCCTTGCAGTCACGAAAGCTTCAAATCTAGAATCTCTGTATATCTTTGTCTCTGTGTGTATCTCTGTGTGTATCTCTGTGTACGTGTATCACTGTGTATATCTATATTTCTGTATGTATCTCTGCGTGTCTGTATCTCTGTGTTTCTCCGTATGTATATCTATGTATGTGCATCTCTCTGTATCTCTGTGTATTTCTGTGTATGTGTATCACTCTCTGTATGTGTATCTCTCTCTGTATCTCTGTATGTGTATCTCTGTATGTATATCTGTTGGGGGAGCGGTGGTGTAGCGGTTAGCGCTACGAACCCGGCGACCCGAGTTCGATTCCCGCTCACGGCCAACACCAGTGACGATTATCCGAACCAGTCCTGGGCCTCCCCTAGGTCGACTCAGCCTCAAATTAGTACCTGGTGCGGTGTGTAAACATCGCCACTGGGGAGACAAAGGCGGTCGGGCGTGGTGCTGGCCACCCACCCCCTCGTGTGCCGTTGCGGCCTTCATAGGTGCTCGCTAACAACTACAGTCTAAGGCTATAAGGGGGATCTTTGTCTTTGTATATCTGTGTATCTTTCTCTGTATCTCTGCATGTATCTCTGTATCTCTGTATGTATATCTCTGTATGTGTGTCTTTCTATATCTCTGCGTGTGTATCTCTCTCTGCGTGTCTCCTCTTTGTGTGTATCTCTCTCTGGGTGTATATCTCTGTATGTATATCTCTGTGTGTGTATTTCTCTCTGTACGTGTCTCTCTCTCTGCATGTGTCTCTCTCTGTATATCTCTGCGTGTCTCTCTCTGTATGTATATCTCTCTGTCTCTCTCTGCGTGCGTCTCTGTAGAGTTCCGTGAGCACTACGAGCGAGTGATGCAGCACGAGGCGGAGCTGCGCAAGAGGTTCCCGCGCGCCGCTCGCACCGCCACCGAGTCCCCGGACCACTAGTGAGGCGGCGCTCCCTCACACCGGGCACTCGGCACCCGCGGCATTGACGGCGTCGGCATCATCATCATCAGCAGCGTCATCGGCATCGGCAGCAGCGTCATCATCAGCGTCGTCATCAGCGTCGTCATCAGCGTCGTCATCAGCGTCGTCATCAGCGTCGTCATCAGCGTCGTCATCAGCGTCATCATCATCATCGGCGTCATCATCGTCATCATCAGCATCATCATCAGCGTCCTCATCAACGTCATCATCATCATCAACGTCATCATCAGCGTCATCGACATCTTCAGCATCATCATCAGCATCATCAACGTCATCATCAGCGTCATCATCGGCATCATCATCAGCAGCTTCGTCATCAGCGTCATCATCAGCGTCATCAGCATCATCATCAGTGTCATCATCGGCATCATCATCGGCATCATCATCGGCATCATCATCAGCGTCATCATCAGCATCATCATCAGCGTCATCATCAACATCATCAACGTCATCATCGTCGGCGTCATCAGCATCATCATCAGCGTCATCAGCAGTGTCATCATCAGCGTCATCAACATCATCCTCAGCGTTGTCATCAGCGTCATCATCAACGTCATCATCGGCATCATCATTAACATCATCAGCATCATCACCATCAGCGTCATCGGTTTCAGCATCGGCAACGTCAACAGCAGCATCATCGGCATCAGCAGCGTCGTCATCATCGGTATCAGCATCGTCATCATCATCAGCAGCAGCATAATCAGCAGCGTCGTCATCATCAGCAGCGTCGTCATCATCATCAGCAGCGTCATCAGCAGCAGCAGCGTCATCAGCAGCAGCATCATCATCAGCAGCGTCATCAGCGTCGTCGTCGTCAGAATCATGATGACATCACCTGCACTCCCCTCTATTTAAGAGCGGAAACAGGAATACTTCTTCGCAATTGTTCACAAATGAGCCTCCGTGTTGAACAGAATCATCATCATCTGTAGCTAAAGGGGTGGTACGGTGGCTAGGAGATGTTAACTACCTCGCCTGGTATACAGGAGGTCGTGGGTTCGATCCCGACCCCGACGCCTGCTGCTGTATTTGGAATCTGCGCGTTTCTCATCATCATCACGGTGGCTAGGAGATGTTAACTACCTCGCCTGGTATACAGGAGGTCGTGGGTTCGAACCCGACCCCGACGCCTGCTGTATATTTGGAGTTTGCGTGTCTCTCTCATCATCATCATCACGGTGGCTAGGAGATGTTAACTACCTCGCCTGGTATACAGGAGGTCGTGGGTTCGAACCCGACCCCGACGCCTGCTGCTGTATATTTGGAGTTTGCGTGTCTCTCTCATCATCATCATCACGGTGGCTAGGAGATGTTAACTACCTCGCCTGGTATACAGGAGGTCGTGGGTTCGAACCCGACCCCGATGCCTGCTGCTGTATATTTGGAGTTTGTGTGTCTCTCTCATCATCATCATCATGGTGACTAGGAGATGTTAACTACCTCGTCTGGTATACAGGAGGTCGTAGGTTCGATCCCGACCCTGACGCCTGCTGCTGTATATTTGGAGTTTGTGTCTCTCTCTTTCTCCCCATGGTCGCGTGGATTTTTTTTCCTCCGGTTTTTCCCTCCACATTTAGAATCAACGTCACGCGTTTAAGGGTTATTTGGCTGCTGCTCTAAATGTCCACGGTGATGATGATAATATCAGCCACTTTATTGAGCTGCCATCATCTGTGATGGCCAGGGGACGCTTCTGAAAATGGGCTTAGAAATGGCTCCGTGGTCTTTACCTGGTAACATGCAGTTCAAAGAGAGAGAGATTTAGACTTAAAACTTTCACCACTGCAGGAATTCATATTCTTGGTTCTTTCGGTAAAGTCACGCAAGATAGAAAAAAAAATGGTTGAGGGAAAATTGAGCTACACAGCTCAGTCAGGGGGGGGGGGGGGGTTGGGGGTCTTACCTGGTAAAAAAAAAACTTATAAGATGTTGGACTACCGTCGTTGTTCTTGTTGTCGTTCCAGTTACGTGGATTCTGACTCTGACTCGGGAGAAGGAGACGGAGCGGACGACGACGACGACGAGAACGGGGAGGGAAACGGCGACGCGGGAATGGACCCTGAGATGCAGGCGGCCTTCGAGATTTTCTGCCAAGAGGCGGAGAAGAAGAAGACCAAGGCGAAGTGAGCGCCAGAAGCACGGGGGGGTGGGAGGGGCGCGGGGTGGGGAGACGCGGAAGAACGGATGATTCTACTCGAGGAATGGGGGGCGAGGGGGGGACATGGAATATACGGGGACAGACGCAAGGGAGGTCCAGCGGGCAGAGTAGCGGCGGGCGGTGGGTGGGGGGAAAGAGAAAAGGCTTCGTGGGAAAGGAAGGAGAGACGGAGAGAGGAAGGAGAGACACACGGAAAGGAGGAGAAGAGGAGACACGAAAATCTGCGGTAGGTGGACAGACAATTAATCCTTCCCCCTCCCCCCGCACGCAACCTCCGATTTAGCAGCGTTGGCTACGTGGGGTGCGAAAGAAGTTTTGACGTACGTACAAAATGAGGCGGGAGACACGGGTAGGATGGGGGCAACTCGCGGTGTAGATGGAGTTTCCACGCCGGTTCTCATCAAGCGACAAAATTGCTTTTTAATCACGGCGACTTTGCTGCACGACTTTCCCTCGTTTTGAAAGCGAGCGAGCGAGAACGCGTCCGTCGCATCCTTTGACCTTCACTGGAGTGCCGCCGTCATGAGCGATGGGCCAGCTTCACACCCATGACCCAGCAGTAGCCAATAGCAGTTGTGGAATAAGATAGCCCCCCCCCCCACCACCTAACCGCATCATGTGACCTTTCAGCCAATGGCAGACGAGATTCGGCTTAATGCGCGCATGCGTGTGTGAGATGAATTGTTGCTTTTAAACTATTTTTTTTCGCATTTTACTTTTCTTTCGTTTCAAGTTGAGGTTTTTATTCTGGTTTTGCCGCGGAGAGCCGATTCGCAAGACCCAGGTTGTACACAGAGACACCGCAGCCCAAGAGAGATCTAACTCTGAGACAGAGAGGGGGGAGAGCAGTCACTGCCCTGAAACAACCTGGAAGTTTCGCCGGCGTTGGTGCACTCAAGCCCGACTCTCGCTGCTGACGAATCGCCGCTGAAGTTTGAAACTTGTGTGAAATGTACACATGTGCGTTGGACTTATTTTGCGCCATACGTAGCCAACCGTGCTCAATTGGAGGTTGTGGCTGGAAGGACAACAAAACGAAACGCCTAAAGCAGTTCTAAAGAAATTCGTTATCAGTCTACAGTTTAAAAGTGCACAGCCCCCCCCGGTGGCTTCCTGATGCCTGATGGGGGAAGAGCAGTCCGGACGGGTGGAGTTTGCGTGATGATGGTTCGTGTTCCTTCATCTGGCCCCAGGCCAATGGGGTGAATCAGTGCGGCCTTCTGTTCCTCCACGATGCCCCACTCTCCTGGCTTCTTGTGTGCCGTGAAGATGATGGGGGCGGCGCATTGCCGAAAACGTCGCCGATCGTGGTATTGAGTAAATCCCCGAACATCTGAAGACTGACACCCCGGAAACGAGAATTTTTCGCGGGAATTTCCCCTCGAGTTTGGTCCGAATAAATGTCGTGGGGAAATGGTGCGTGGCTTTCGTGGCGCACGCACGCACACACACGCATGCGCATGCACCACAGGGCGACGAGTTTGGTTATCGTTGCCCCTACCCTCCTCCCCCCAGGACAATTATAACGTAACCGACGATCTTAGAACAAGATTAAGAAGAAGAAGAAAATAAAATATGGACTTGTTCTAGAATCCGAAATCATCCGAAACAATGCTTCAATCCAAAACGTTCCATCCCTAGTCCATGGCCAACAACACAGCCATAAGAAGATTGCATGAACATATTTTTGTCTCTTTGAGACCTTTTTTGCCAGCGTCCAAATTGATGAAAAGTAAGATCAGGTTTTACTCTTTCTGGAAATAAAACAAGAGTTGTGTTAAGGTGTTCCAACACCAAATGGATACCTTTTTGCAAGGCATCAGTTTGACAAACAATGCTGCATGTATCATCATGTTTTTGCCACAATTCCATGTGGTTAATGCAGACTTGATAAAACCTTGCTAGAAAGATATCTAGCTGGTGTTTGAACATCTTAACAGCTATATTCTTGGTTCTTTCGGTAAAGTCACGTAGAAGGGAAGTAATAAAATAAGAAAACTTATTATTTGATTATTTCCCTTCTACGTGACTTTACCGAAAGAACCAAGAAGATGAATCCCTGCAGTCACGAAAGATTTAAATCGAAATCTTAACAACTATCGTGATTTGAAGCTTCCGTGACTACGGGAATCCATACTCTTTGGTACTTTCGGTAAAGTCACGTAGGTAGTTCTTCCTGGTTCAGCAGTTTTACTGGTGGATTATTATTTTTTTTCCGCCTGAGGACGATCGCTTGTATTGCGATCGAAACGTCGTGATATCTATTTTTTCTTCTTGGTTCTTTCGGTAAAGTCACGTAGAAGGGAAATAATAAAATAATAATAATGTTCATTGGAGCGCTGCCTTTCAGACAGCTCTGTCTTCACCTGAGCACGGCTGCTTGTGTTGTGGCCGAAACGTCGTGAGAATTTTATTTTATTACGTTTTATTTTTATTATTTTATTATTTGCCTTCTACGCGATGACTTTACCGAAAGAACCAAGAAGATGAATTCCTGCAGTCACGAAAGCTTTAAATCGAAATCTATTTTTTTTACTTTCTTTTTCTACCTACGTGACATTACCGAAATAAACAAGAGTATCTTAACAACTCCTGTTTTATTGGCAGAAAGGGTAAAAACTAAAATTTTCGTCTTCTTTTTTCTTCTGGAAAATAAAACCGGCCCCGAGATTCTGCTCAAATCCAACTCGTGGCTGTAAGGGGGACGGATTATCGCTGTTACCGCTTTCAATGCCCCCCCCCCCCTGCTTGCTGTGGGTCAGTGTTGAGGCTTTGGGTCCGTGTTGAGGCCGTGGGTGTCGAGTGTTGGTTGAGGCTGTGCTTACTAACAGTGTTAAAAGGCTGCGGGTTTGACGTTGAGGCCCTCGGGTTCGTGCCGAGACCCAAGTTAATATTTTAATGTGGATGTTGCGGGGTTCCGATTAAGACTGCGAGTTTCGTGTTGAGGCTGTGGGATCAGTGTCGAGAATGTGAATCTGACCTCGTGTGGCGCAGCCCCCGGGTACACAGTCTTCGTGTGAAGTAACAATATAAGATCTTTCGATACTTTTGGTTTGCGTTTTTTCTTTTTTAAGTCTCCACAAAGTCTAAATGAATTGCTGAATAATTTATTGCTGAGTAAAGGGGCTGGCGATACGTTTATCATGTAGCCCTTAGGATCGCGCGCAGTGTTCTTGGACTTTAATCAACAATGCTTGAGCTTCTGTAACCAGAGCCATTAAATTTGACAATTCACACGAAAAAAATACTTCAACTGGTTCTCTGCAGATGTCTGGTTTCACAATCGAGCACTTGTTTCAAATGTAAACTGCGTGCGGCAGAGGGCTGAGAGGGTCCTCGGGTTTGAGTATGAAGTGTGTGGGCGTGGTGGAAGTCGAGATGAGCCAGAGCATCGGGGGATTTTGTCGGGCGACTTCCGTTGACGTCACAGAAACCAGACTGAGAATCCTGATACTCGGGGGACTATGAATCCACGCATCTAGGCTATGAACCCATACATCTGGACAACAAACCCACAAACTTGAATAATCAACCCAATTAATCCGGACCCCTAGCCCCATCACCAATTGGGAGTTGTGGGGGTGGAGTGTCTCATAGTACAAAATACCCAGGCAGGTGCTTAGTTTTGGTAAGGCCCCACCTCTTAGTCGCACGCTCCAGGTTCAGCAGCAGCAGCAGCACCTCCAACTCCTCCTCTGAATGAGCAGCAATTATGAGATCATCGGCATACATAACGTGGTTGACCAATAGGGAGCTGTCCCTTGACCACGCCCGGGCATTGATCAGCCTCCCATTGTATCTGTACCAGATGGAAATTCCGTTGATATAGCCATCAAAGGCTTCACGAACTACGTGGTCAAAATAGATGTTAAATAATGTGGGAGCCAGAGGACATCCCTGTCGCACCCCAAGGTGAACAGGGAATGGCTCCGACTCTCGGCCACGTAGTTTTACCCGGGCCCGCTCACCATCATGAAGGTCCTTAATGATTGTGAGCAGAGGGTCAGGGACTCAATAAGCACAAAGAAAAGCCCAGAGCCCAGGCCTACTGTTGGTATCATAGGCCTTTACCAGGTCAATAAAGCATAGATGTAGGTTATTTTTCTACCTACGTGACTTTACCGAAAGATCCAAAGAGTATAGAGATGTAGGTCTTGTTGGAATTCCCTACACCTCTGCTGTAGAAGACAGAAAATATGGATATGTGCAGGACCGCCCTTTCCTGAAACCGCATTCGAGCTCCCCAAGCCTCTCCTCAGCGTGCCTGGCAAGGCGATGTTGAATAATCCTTGCCAGGACCTTTCGGAACACTGAAAAGGGATATGCCCCTGTAGTTTTTTACAGTCTGTGCGGTCCCCCTTCTTAAAGAGGTGTCCCACCAGGGCATCCTTCCAATCCTGCGGAACCCGTCCAGTGGTCCAGACTGTTGTTCCGATGTCATGTAGTGCAGTCTGTGCACAAACGCCACCCTCCCTCACCATTTTTCTTGGAAAATCATCTTTGCCCGGTGCCTTTCCTGGTCTCAAACTCTGGATCGCCTTCAGTACTTCCTCAACAGATGACACCTCAGCCAGCAACTCAGTGATGATAGTGATGATGGTTGCTGATGGACTACGAGGATGATGATGTCGACAATAACTAACACCACCATCCACCACCACCACTCATGCACCATCACACCCACCACTATCCTCGACTACCTACTATGTGGTTGGCTGTTGGGTATCACCCTTACATCCAACAGCCACCCATATACCAACCACACACCCACCACACACCAATCACACATCCACCACACACCCACCACACACCAACCACACACCCAACCACCGCATGTCAATCCCACAGTAATAACTGCCCAGTAATACAGATATTTAATCCATGAAAATGAAAGAGCATTCAGCAAAGAACTACAAAAAAATGGTTGATGAAGATGTAAAAATGCCAATGCTTAAAACACAGATACTGAAAAAAATAAGGACAATGGCAAAAACGCGAATGAATGTTGACCTTGAATTAGATGGGTATTACCTCTGTTAGAGTTTTTAACAGACAACGACACAAGAAGTCACAGCTTCTCGAGACGCTGGCCTTCCTCAAGAGATGCCGAGATAACAAGGTAATACCCATGGCTTTCACACTCACATCCGCTGCACCTTACCATATTAATCAAAAGTGTGCCGTTCCTGGCCCTTCCTCCCTCAACCATTATATATACGGGGTGGTATTTCTTGTGATCTCTCATTTACTTGATACAGCTGTCGTGGCTGTAATGGTTCCACCTGAAGACGGAGGCTTGTGTTGCTTCTGAAACGTGAATTTTTTATTTTGTTTTATTTTACTTTTATTAATTAACTTTTTTTACCTACGTGACATTACCGAAAAAACCTAAGAATATGAATCCTTGCAGTCACGAAAGCTTCAAATCTAGAATTCTTGAGATTCCTTCAAGTCACCGCTGATGCACACACACACACACACAGGCCGTAGAGAGCAGCATTTGTTGCCACTCGCACTAATGAGAGTGATGTTCGTTGAATTAATTTTGACAAAGTGGTAAATGTAATTTAAAGTGGGGGGCTTTTTTGTGCAGTCATTGGTGATTTCACGTAAACAATCGTCTTACTACAGGAGTGGAAGATGGCAGCAGCCTTTACGAGGCCCACCGTTGTTGAGTGAGAAATCACAAGGAATGCTGCCATCAACGTGACTGAACATCGATCGTCGGTCTCCCGGTTTCCAGAGCAACAACGCAAGCCATGCTAACAGCCTTCGTTAGGGTCGAACAATGTGCCAGATAGGCCCTCGGACAAGGATCCCCCAACTGAACATTGAGGGACTCTCCCGGGTTAAGTGCGAGTACCTGGTGAACATAATGAACACATGTAACACCGATGTCCTAGCACTCCAAGAAACCCACGTCTTGGATGCCCTATATGCCAGTCACTACCACGTCCATGAAAACAACTTCATCAAGAACCATTATCACCCGAAATATGGTTTGGCCATATATGTGAAGAACACCATCACAGAGTTCGACGCCTTCCCACCAACTGAAAAAGAAGCCACCTACACCACCAGCATCAAGATAGGGGAACTGCACATTACCAACGTGTACAAAGCCCGGAATTCAAAATGGCCAAAGTCAGCTTTCCCAAGTGCACCAATCCCAGCCCTCTATCTTGGTGTATTTAATAGCCACGATATTATGTGGGGCTATGCAGTAAAGCAGGCCGACGGTGAAGGCCTTACCGACCGGAAGTCCACCAAAGATCCGCACCTGGTTTTCGATCCCAAGCAGCGACCAACTTTCCACTCGGCTCGCTGGCAACACGACTACAACCCGGGCCTCACCATCATTTCCAAAGATCAAAGTGTGGGTACAACTCAAGCTTTTCCGAACGTCAACATAGACCCAGACCCATCATCACCCACATCGCCATTGAAACACCCGTGATTGTGTCAAAACGAGTACCAAGTGAAATCTGGTCAAAGCTGACTGGGAGCCACGAAAAGGAGGCATTAGAGCGAGTGGTGAGACGAATTTCTGCCACGCTAAAATGCTATCACCGTTTTGTTGTCCTCATTGCATCCGCCATGAATAGCATCCCCTGAGGCTTCGGGAAAGAAACCACTCCCTGCTGGACAGACGAGACCCATGACCTGCTCCGGAAGTACAAATGGTCGGGCAGCCCATAGGTTGGAAAGGCCCTGCGAATATCTGTAGACTCAGCCAGACACCAACGGCGGATTGAGTGCGTTGAAGGCCATGGACTTCACATCACTCCAGCCACCGTGCCTGGGCCCTACTACGATGCCTGGGTGCTGCTGATCCAAGCCAGTAGAGATGGGATCCCCCCAGAATTGCTCCCACCACTTAGGTCCTAGGGGACTCCAATGGATGGCAAAACTGTACATCAAAACCATGAAAACCGGATGCATCCCAAAAGCATGGCGGGAAGCAATGGTCATTGTCATACCCACGGCGGGCAAGCCAACCGACGACCTTGGAGGCTATAGGCTGACAGCACTCCTGTGCACGACCTATAAACTCCTGGAACGCATCATCATCCTCCAGAGAATCATCCCCCTCATCGAGTCGGTGATCCTTGAAGAACAAGCGGGATTCCAGCCCAGGCACTTTTTAGAGCTGAAACTGACTGACTTGTGTAAAAATTGGCTTCTTTTTTAGACGGTTATTGATTTCTTTGTACAGATATTATTTCATTTGAGACTTAACCCAGAACAGTTTGTAATTCTACAGCTACGCCTACACGGGTAAGTGCTGTAGCCTTGGGGATACATTCCATGACGTATCTCATGGTATTTAAAGCTGCAATCTAAGTCACATTGTTTCCTTGTTCATTGCCACCGTGAGCCATGGTGATGGTGGTGATTAATTGATTGTTACTGGTGGATGATGATGACGATCATGATTATGATGACCACCACCCACACCCCCACTAACTGCCCTATCGGACACCTGCCAATCACTCACCACGACCTACTGACCCATCTTCAGAGCCGACCTACCCACCTGATCTCACTCCTGATCACCCTCCAGCCCGACCACCTGCCCACCTACCCGTATCCGGCCACTTAACCGCCCTCCTGCACTCAGACCAGCTCCCTCACCCACCCACCAACCGGCCCATCATCTGCCCATCCAGCCAATCAGCCACCCACTCAATCACCCACCCAGCCAATTACCCACCCACTAAGTCAATCACCCACCCACCCAGCCAATCACCCACCCACCCAGCCAAACACCCACCCACCCAGCCAATCATCCATCCAGCCAATTACCCACCCACCCAGCCAATCACCCACCCACCCACCCACTAAGTCAAACGCCCACCCACCCAGCCAAAAACCCACCCACCCAGCCAAACACCCACCCACCCAGCCAAACACCCACCCACCCACTAAGTCAATCACCCACCCACCCGGCCAATCATCCGCCCACCTGACCACCTGTCCATCAAATCCAGCCGACCAGCAACCACCAGGACTTAAATATTTAGCGATTCACACGTGAAGTGGAGAGACCACGAGACAAAAATATTAACGGATGTTAGTTGACAGAGACAATTCAAAATTCTGATACTTATACACACATTTTGAAAGACACGTACAATGACACAAGAAAGATTATCTTTCACCTTGAAAGTCGGTACTTTTTACAAAGGTGTGGTTTGCTGTCCAAACACACAGCCTCACCCGAGCCGGTACAACCAGTCCGTGGGATAAACCATTACTGTTTCCATGGTTACCGTGGGGTTTGTTTTTGGACAGATACAGGTGGAACATTCTAAAGGCGCGTCTCGAGGTATGTATAACTTAACTGCAGGTGAAGTCATTCATTATTTTCGTTCATCGCTGCTGTGTGAGCTCCTCAGCCCGAGTCTCCTGAACACCCCTGTCAATGATTATCAACATCTCACGAGATTATAAACAGAAAGTGTTTTATTTAAATATATATTTCCCGAGCCACAGGAAGCGAGTACTTTGAGTGCAGCCTTGGGTTATGGCGAGCGCAGCTCCCTCTGAGAACGTGGACCATGAGTTGAGCTGCTCCATCTGCCTGGACACGTTTGACTGCCCCTCCACGCTGAGCTGCGGCCACTCGTTCTGCCTCCAGTGCCTGGAGGACGCCTGGAAGGAGACAGACTCCTACTGCTGCCCGCAGTGCCGCAAGACCTTCCCTCGACGACCCCAGCTGACCAGGAACGTGACGATCGCTAACCTCATAGAGCAGCTGCGAGTGACTGAAACCATGGCTGCTGCAGCTGCTGGTGTTGTTTTCTGTGACCACTGCCCAGAAGGCAAGACGCCTGCAGTGAAGACCTGCCTCAAGTGTGAGATGTCCTTCTGCACGGAGCACATCGCGCCTCACCTGGAGAGGGCGAAGTTGAAGGACCACGTCCTCGTGGCTCCGATTGCGAACCTGGAGCAAAGAAGATGCATGAAGCATAAACAGGAGCTCATGTTCTACTGCAAGCAGGACGTGAGCCTCGTGTGCATGGCCTGCACCATCACTGGAGAACATAGAGGACATGATGTCAACACGCTGGAGGATGAGCACGAAACACGAAAGGTGGGTTGAATGAGAGTTGCTCAGGAGCGAACGATATCGTGACCTGAGCTGATGAAGTGCAACAACAACATCTCATTAAATCAAAACCATCATGGATGGGATTATTCTCTCTTCACCTTCGTTTTTTTTTCAGGCTAACTCCCTTAGCCTCTTTTTTTGGTGGGCAATTATAGAGCCATCACTGTGGAGGGCTCCGTGTGGAATGGGGCTGAGAAGGAGCCGCTTAGGGAGTGGAGTCTCCTCGGGTGACTTCGTCTCTTACAGAGTGGAGTCGGAGAGGAGACGCGAGCGGTGGAAGAGAAGAGGAAGAAGGCGGAGGTGTCCGTGGGACGGATGAAGGTCACTCGCAAGGCCGTGCAGGTACCACACGTGGGCTTTGTAACCCTGTGACCTCCACCCTGCGTCTAGTCTATGACTCTCTCCTTGTGAGGACAACTCCGTAGATTCAAGTAAACTTTGTTAGGCTTGAGTCAGTGTGTAATAACTGTGCAGGCTATTGCATTATCATGGCTATGGGTGCTTTAAATATAAATTAGAAAAAAATGCAATGTTTTTGTAAAAAAGTTAATATCTCGTGAGACTGCACAGCACTTCGCAGATTAACTCCAATGGCTTGCAATGCGTGAGATAAAATAATGCAGTATGGAGCAACGGCTGAATTGAATTAAAAACTAGAAATTACACGAGTGAAAATGAAATGGCAGGAAATCGACTGTTAATTGCTAGAGATGGGGCATCAAGAGCGTGTAGGGAATGCTGGAAAATTGTTGCTCTCATGACACGCACCCAACTTTCAAGCAGACATAACATAGAGTCTATGACTATTTCAAACATTTTAAGTTGAATTTGCACGAATAGTGATGTTAAAAGTAATACATCTTAATACCTACATTTTAATGGTAGGGATTATTATGTAATTGTGTCTACTTTTTATATATTATAAACGATATTGCTATGAGTCTGTTTGTGTTTTTGCATGCAGAAGTATCCATTGTAATGCAGGGCATCAGATCAGCTGGTGATATTCATAATTTACAAAAAATCGTGGAGAATATTAGTAACAAAAACATATATGTAGATAAAACCTCTCCATCATTTATCTGCCTCTATGAAAATCATGAGAATAAATGTACACATATCATCTGCCCCACGACGTGGGAGTACATCGTTTCAAAAGTATTGATTCGGTAAAAAGCAAACGCTCGACTAATTTCCACACCCAGTGTATCGGTATCAGTCAGGCTTGCTTGAGGTAAGGCTGATGTACTGCCCTATGTTTATAAGCAAGGACCCTTTTGTAATGATATGGGTCCTAGTTAGATGCCAAATGATATAATACACAAGACAAAACATAATCATTAGACTCGTGGTTGAGAATATAACTATAAAATACAATAAACAGACATAATATCGTTACACATCTGTCTCTTCACCTAATACATAAATTAATAAACATTCCATCGGCTCCACAGTCTTATGGGAGTGCATCATTTAGCAGCATTGATTCTGTAGAGGAAACGCTGGAATTGTTTATGCATCAAATAATTATTCGTCTGACTAAGATTCATATCATAAAGGGTTCTTGTCTATAACATCTAGCATTTCACCTGCATTGATTCAAGCGAGCCAGACTGCTGATGAGACACTGCATGCCAAAATCGGTCCATAGTTTGTTTGCACTGAATGAATACAGTTATGCTAGAATTATACAATCCCAAAAGGCCGTCGGGCCAATAGATTGTGTACAAAATACGTGTGTAGAGGTGCAATTGTGTAGATGTATGGGCACGGATGGGTAACAAACACAAGGGGCATGGTTAGGGCCGTACACAGAGGAGGTGCTCACACTGACGTCCGCACCTGCATCCCCCACGGGCCCCTCCTGGGGGCCGAGTGCTATAAAAGGTGGTGAGCCGGAGGGCTCGAGGTCGAGTATTAGCTTTAACCAGCGAAGAGTGAAGACCAGCTAGAATAGGCCCTGGAGCTCCCCTGGCTCGCTGTCCTTGTCAGGGCCGACCAGGGCAAGCCGGTGGCGTGGCCCCGAGAGCCCAGACTGACGTTCTTATAAGAGCCAGTCTGGAGACTCAGGGTGCCGGGATCCCAGCTTGACCAGGGCTGGGATAGGTAGCCTCCCCTAGCTCCGTAGTGGAGGACTCGGGCGTAGGTTAGCGGGGTTAGACGTTGTGTCTCCCTGTTAGACGAGTGAAGGGGACGATACCCCTTCAAGTGCTGTGTGTACCCGTTACTGTGCACAAGTTGTTATTAATAAATAAGTGTGCCTCCGACCCCGTCGTCCAAGCCTCTTGCAAATTACTACATCTGGGGTCAGAAGTAAACGTGCAACAATGGACACACGAAGGACGACACGTACCTGGGAGTCGGAGATGGAGGACACCTCAGCCGACTCGGCACCAGAGATGGCCGAGGTCGGATCCCAGCAGCCGGGGCCGAGTACACCCGCGCCGCTACGACAGGAAGGGTGGGATGCGTCGGCCGAGGGACTTCGGCTGGCTCACTCCCGCCTGGCGGAGCTGCTCTACGCTGCGGCCGCCACGTTGGAGGAGATCACGTGGCTGGGGGCTGGAGGGGCTGCGCGGGACGACGACGGCAGCCGACGCGCGGCGCCGTTTCCCGCCACCCCGACGCGGCTGGCAGTCAAATTTCTCGCCATCGCTACAGTGGGTGCAGAGGGCGGGGCCGTCCCGCGTCAGGTGACCGCCGAGGGCCAAGCAGGAGCTGTGACATCATCAACACCGGCCAGCGCGTCGACAACGGAGCGACCGGCGATGCCATACGCGCAGCCCGCCCGCACTGTACAGAGCGCCGGGAACGACGGAGCGCGATCCGCAGCCACGGACGTCGCGTTACAGCAGCGACTGCCGCCTCTTAAAGAATTCGTGGGCGCGGACGGGGACTGGGGCGGCTTCAAGAGATGGTTCATCGCTCATCAGGAGATGGCGAACTGGACGGACGCCGAAGCACTACGCGCGCTGCCGGCGATGCTGGACAACGACGCCCTGGCTACCCTCACCTCGGCGCCTAAGGAAAAGCGCGCCACGCTGCACTTGGCGCTGCAGCTGCTGTCCGCTTTCTACGGCCCGCCTTCGGACTGCAGGCAGCTGTTCCACGATCGTCATCGGGGCGCCAACGAATCGACTCTGGCTTTCCGGACGGCTCTCCTGGCCCTGGCGAAGGCAGCTTTTCCGCGGATGGACGAGGAGGGAGTGGACGCTATGGTGGCAGAAAAACTGTTGCTACTCGCGGACGAGCTGGACGTCGCCGTCTTGGCTCAAGACGACACAGAGATGTCTTCCTTGCTGGTCGCGCGCCACATCCACGGGAGCTTGCGGTCCCTGCGTCGCAAGGCTGCCAAGGGGGTGGCCGGCCATGCCATGGTGGCTCCCGCCCTCCCATCGGAGGAGGTCTGCGGGGTGGAGCGGCGGGGGGAATGGAGATCTGCGGGACCACAGGCTCGGAATGGACCGAGCCGCCAGGAGCAGCCCAGGCCATCCGGGGCGCTCACACGCTGCTACAACTGTGGCCTTCAAGGCCACGTGGCTTTAGGATGCCGGGCTCCTCGTCAGCGTGGGGCGACACCTCGTCAGGACGCCGCGCCGCCTCCACCCAAGCTCCAGCAGAGAAATACGGCGAGTCGTGGCACCTCACACGTTTGGCCCGTGCACACATCTGTCACACACTCACTCGCTGAAACATGCACGGCTCGAAATTCGCCGGGCGTTGCGTCAGATTGTTCTGAAATGCGGCGAGCGCTCCAACCGGGCCAGTGGTCGGAGCTCGCCCATCGTGTCGTTGCAGCGTCGGCGGGGTCGTTGGTCGTGGTCGGTCACATAGATTGGGTTGAGGTGCGGATTTTAATTGACACGGGAGCATCGGCGACCATTATATCTGATTTGATTTATAACATCCTTCCCGTTCAAAGTCGTCCTTTGCTCCCCATTGACGTGCCATGCTATGCTGCTAACGGGGGCTCGCTGGGCATCATTGGGCAGATCCGCGCCAAAATTTGCATTGGGGACATTAAATTATCCGGGCCTGTATTGGTTTCCTCCTCGCTGGCGGTTCCGTGCCTGTTGGGGACGGATTTCTTGGCCAAAATGCCTATCCGTATATTGATCGACCAGGGGTGCATCGATATCCCGTCGGGCCGACGTGTAACATTTTTGTCTTCCCCCGCCACGGAGCGTCGGGCATTTGCGACCGTGCAGGCGCTCGTGGCGAGAACTGTACGCGTACCCCCGGGAGCTCAGATGCTCGTCCCTCTTAGGTTACGTCGGCCGTTTGCTGAGGAGGTTGCGGATCGGGGGGTCTTGTTGGGACCATCTCGAGCCGGGGTCAATGGACCCGATTTGATAGCGGCTCAGATCATGGTGAAAGGGGATGGGGACCCCTTCATTGCAGTCCTTAATGTGGGATCGCGAACGGCCGTGGTTCCTCAAGGGACCGTGCTTGCACACACAACGCCGGCACCCTATGAGGAACCTCTCGTGGGTCAGGTGAGCACCGATCCTCCGTCGCGACCACATTCGGACTGTGATGACGGATGGCTGGATGCGCTTTGCGCGGGATCAGTGGACCTGTCCGACTCACAGCGTGAGAGGCTGCGAGTTCTCCTGAAAGAGTTTGCCGACGTTGTTAGTCGACACAAATTTGATATTGGTTGTACTAAATTGCTGCGACACCACATTGACACGGGTGACAGCGCGCCAATCCGCCAAAATCCCTTTCGGTTGAGTCCCGCCGAAAAGGATCATGTCAATTCGGCCGTTGACGACATGCTAGCCGCCGATATCATATCCCCTTCCAACAGCCCGTGGGGCGCACCGATCGTTTTGGTGAAAAAACACGACGGCTCACTGCGGTTTTGTGTCGACTTTCGGCGGTTGAACAAAATTTCAGTAGCCGACGCGTACCCGCTTCCTCGAATGGATGAGTCGCTTGATGCCTTGGCGGGGGCGCGATTCTTTTCCACCCTGGATTTACTTTCTGGATTCTGGCAGCTTCCTCTGGATGACGAATCTAATCCTAAGACTGCTTTCCGTACACCGCACGGCCTTTTCCAATTTAACCGCTTGCCGATGGGCTTACATTCTGTGCCGGCAACTTTTCAGCGGTTAATGGAACTGGTCTTGGCGGGCTTGCAATGGGATTCGTGTTTAATTTACTTGGATGATGTCATCGTCTTTAGCAAAACATTCGATGAACACCTCCAGAGGTTGCGTGCTGTTTTTCTCAAAATGCGGGATGCCAATTTGAAATTTAAACCGCAGAAGTGCCATTTGCTCCGCGAATCGGTGCGGTATTTGGGTCATATTGTTGGTCGCTCGGGGATATCCACCGAT